CTCATCCTGGGCCTTCCTCCCTGAAGCTTCCACAATCCGGCTGGGTGGGGCGCATTCCTCTCCCCACCCTTTACTGCTCTCCTTCCTCGACCCCTGCCCAACACAGCAACCCACCCGTACCGTGTTCTCAGGTGCTCGCCAACACTGCTCTGACAGGGCCCAATCCCCTTCCTAGTTCAGACTCAAGATGCAATCTAGGCGTCTTGCTCCTTCTGTGTGAACCGGAGAACACCACTGGCCTGGTGACAGAGGTCCCTGGGAGGGTCTGGGGATCTCCGGGTGCTCGATTAGCTGAAGAAGCTATCCCAGAAGGGCTTTAAGGCAGGAGATGGGGAAGAGAAGCCCCAACCTCGGGTCACCATACATTGCCTGATATTGGGACTTCCTTTCAGGGACAGAAGCTAGAAAGCAACCCAGATCAGGTAGCACCAGGGTCCATGCAAACCCCAAGAGGGTCCTGTGCCCCGCCAGGCCCCACAGTGCAGACCCACGTGTCTGTACCAAAACCACCACCTCCACGCCAGCAGTTACTGTTCTTTGCTGGGCCCTTCTTCCATTACCTCTCAGGCACCAGCAACAGACACTTGGCAAACCACCTGAGCAGAAAAACAAGGAGACGAGCAGGCTGTTTCCAAGCTGGGCCAGGGGAGGCAGGTATGAGTGTGGTCCAAGGGATTCTACCTGGCCACCCAGGGCCATGGAGAGGCATCCTGGAGATTACGTGTCCCACCCGGGGCAAACAGCCAGGTTTAAACGAGCGGTCTCCAACACTGGCGTGCGTTAGGAGCCCTGCTCTAGCACCGGCCGGTTAGTTTGTTCCGACAGGCCAAGCCTGGTTGCTGAGGTGAGCGCTGACACGGTTTGGCTAGTCCCACGGCAAAGGCCAAACTGTTCAGCCACATGGGAGGGTGCCCAAGAGGAGCTGTATTTGACGCGGTGCGCACGGCAGACCAGGACCTACCCCCAGCATCCCGCTCCTTTGACAGCCCGTGGGCTGCTGGGCAGGTTAGCAGCACAGCTCTCACCTGAGCGGAGTCCGGACACGCCCGGACAGCCACTAGCCAGAGGAGAGGGCAGATCAGACAGGACACGCAGGCCCCATCCATGCTAGCTGCGCTTGGCCCCCACCATCGAACACAGCTCCCAACAGCCAGCTTTCAACACCCACTGCAGAAAGAGCGAGCGGCCCGTTGTCATGAGCTACCAGGCGGGGTTAGTACAGGGCACCTAATCCAACCAACGTTTCCAAAGATTCATTTTAATCTTGGAACTTGGGAAAGCGTCTACAAAACGAAGCCTTTCTACCCAGTGGCAGTAAGCTGTAGTTCCTTTGACACTCGTATCCGATTGTGTGTGACTACAGCTCTCTGCCTCACACCCACTCTTGCGTTGAAGTCAGAAGGCCATTTTCAGCCTCGGTGCAAACACACACGAAGGATCCAGCCCGTTGCCCTGTTCTGGGAGCCCGTCAGATCTCCTATGCTAAGCAGGGTCAGGTTAGTGTTTGGATAAGAGACCAAGGTATGCAGAGGTGCAGTGAGAGAATTTGACAGATGTTGCTCTTCCTTTGGGAAATCTGCCCCCCTCAGATTTCCTACCCTTGCTACAATTTGGGCAACTCTGGTAGCAACCGAGGGGCGCTATGGTAGGCCAGCTCACCGAATCACCACCTCATAACTCCGCTGGCAGCAGGGCGAGGGGATATTGTGGTTAAGATGCCGGCCGTTGCTGGCTCCTTGTCTACAACGCACCATTGGTAACAACCATGGGAAATTTCAGGGGAAAAGGCCAGTTTTTCTGAGTCAGCACCAAACCGGTGCCCCGGCAGAGTCACTACAAGGTGCAGCGCTGCTGGAGGTGGCATCCTTCGCATGGGACACAACCCGTTATATTTATTTACTTACTTCTTGCACTTATTAATGAGCCCGTATCCCTCTAGAGGAGTCGGGTCCGGAGGAAATTCCTACATTAGTGATTTAATTCTGCCTCCCCAAATGCCCCTTAATGCTAGACAGGATCCTCAGTTATGTAAGGTTGTCACGTGCTGTTAAACAGCTGTTCTGTTCCACTCTATAGATGGCCGCATTCATCTTTGTGCCTGGGCTCTGTATCCACAAAGTGCTTGGGGATCGGCAAGCTGCTGGAGAAATGCAAAACCTCTCATTGTTTACTGTCTGTTCCACATTGGTTGCTAATGATAAATCACGTACACCTCTACCCCGATATAACGCGAATTCGGCTAGAACGTGGTAAAGCAGCGCTCCGGGGGGGCGGGGCTGCATGCTCCGGCAGATCAAAGCAAGTTGGATATAGCACGGTTTCACCTAGAACGCGGTACGGTTTTCTGGCTCCCGAGGACAGCGTTATATCGGGGTAGAGGTGTATTAGGACTTTGCCGCAGAACTGAGGAGAGGAGAGGAGGCTCTTGTTTAACACACATTGGAAAATTCCTGCAAATGTGGTAAGGAATTTTGTTTTAAAAGTGAAATCAAAAAGGAATCGGATTCCTGGCCAAGTCGCACATGTCTGATCGCTTTTCCTTGTGTGGAACCCCTTGGCTGCCCCTCTTCCACAAAAGCAAGGCAGAGCGGTAGCGTCAACTGGATTTCAACACTCCCAGCCTGCTGTGCCACAGAACCCTCTGCACGAGCGGACCTGCAACGCCTGGGCATTCCGTAGGCCAGAAGCGGTCCCCGACAGGGCCCCCCATTCCCATGTCTCCAGTCACCACAGAATGCCCATCAGGGGCTGTTCCCGGCGCCAGGGCAGTGTCGGCCGTACACGCGCAGAGTATGAAGTGAGGCGCAGGACAGGGAGGGGAAACGGCTCTTGCCTCAGTAAAACGTCACTGCCCAGCCATCCAGTTACTCCTGCCTCATAACAGGAGTGAGGCGAAAGAGGGGACGCAGCCAGGAGCCCTAAGCAAGGCCATGTCTCCTCAGACGGGCCCATTCCCTGCTCGGACTCCAGCCCTTCACAGGCCGTGCAGCACAAAGGGCGCTCGAGACGACTCCGGGCACAGGATTATGCTGGGGTTGACTTTACTTAAGTGGTACCGTCCCAGCTTTGCTTCCCAGTGGCCTGCCTGCGAGCTCCTGAAAGACAGCAGTACGACGCAGCGTGGAGTCGAACCCAAGAGAAGTAAACGCCAGCACAGCTGAGGGGCTACAGAAACGCTGAGGAGAGGGTCAGAACTTGGCACGGGTCCCGCAGGGAGCCAGCGGTGGCTTTCAGACAGGAAGGCGCTGAATTCACAATCCTCAGTTACTGAGGGTACTCTGCTCACCTCCACCCCTGCACACCAGCTGCACCCACACAGAGCGACAGGTCCAGGAGTAGAACAACAGGGAACAGTCTGGTTCATGGGCAAGTCTATGATTTAGTCACAGGTATTTTTAGTAAGCGTTATGGACAGGCCATGGGCAACAAACAAAAAATTCACAACCCACGACTTGACAATGACCTTTACTATAAATACCCCTGACTAAATCATAGCTGGAGGGCCCCGGGGCACCGCTTCTCCGGGGGGGGGAGGGGGGAAGAGAGAAGAGGCCTGCTCTGGGGGGCCTCCGGGGCACCTCTCCTCAGGTGGTCCCCGAGGCCTGCTGCTGGGGGCCGCCAAGCAGTGGCCAGTGTGACTGCCCCCAGGGCCAGCCTCATCGGCCGCTGCTCGAGCTGTCCCTGGAGCCAGCTGAGCAGCTAACCCCGAGGTCAGCCACACTGGCCACTGCAGAAGTCACTGAGCTCACGGAAAGTCGCAGAATCCGTGACAGACACATAGCCTTACTCATGGGACATGCTCCAAGGCCAGAACCCTGGTTCTACTCCAGCCTCTGCCACTGGCTGCGTGAGCTTTTTGTAAATCACTTCCCTTCCCGGGCCTAGCCAAGGCTAGGAAAACAAGCCATTAAACCTCACCCTTCAGGGTTTAAACTCATCTCACCACAAGGAGTTCGAAAGGGACCAAATGTGGAGGCAGATTATCCCACACCTGCCTATGAGGGGCGCTTACACCTTCCTCCAGAGCACCTGTCAGAGACCAGACCTGAGTTCCACCCTGGCCATTGTGGCAATCCCAGTGCTGCTCTTTCAGAGCGTGTTCGTGTACCCAGGGTTTCACAGTTAAATAAACCCTCACTAGATTAGTGTTTTAAAATGTGGCAGTTACAAAATTTTAACTTGCTCATTGTAAATTACTTATTTTCCTACTCTAGACCTGATCTTGTGCCTCAGTTTCCTAATCTGTGACCCAGGAATTATACCAGCGACTCACAGGAGCTGTACCCAGGTTAGTATTTGCATTCAGCTGGAAGGTGGTATAGGAGAGCGAAGTATCTCACTCTAGAAGTGGCAGGAGACCTAGACCTCCTTTAATTAACAACACGCAAGTAACATTCCAGCTTCCTATGCCATCTCCCTGCAGTAAACGCACATCTCCTCTGCCAGAACCGCTGCTCCCCAACCCTCAGTCCTCACGCTGTTTTTGCACAGCAGCTGAATGATACAGTCATAGAACCATAGAAGATTAGGGTTGGAAGAGATCTCAGGAGGTCATCTAGTCCCACCCCCTGTTCCAACCCCAACTAAATCATCCCAGCCTGAAATCTGAGAAGTGTGTCCTTGTGTGTCCTATGTTGTCACCACAGAGAACAATAAACCACACGCTTAATAAGTGCCCCCCCCCAATAATAAAAGATTTGTCTACATGAGCTGTGTCTTATTATCCTGGTTCACATGCACACAAACCACATGCCTTCTTCCCCGACCACCACGGCCTGCAAACTGAAGCCATGAGGGTTTCTCATGGAGGAGTCTCCCGACCTGGCAAATCGTTCAGCATGTGACCCGCATAAATTGTTGACAGGGAGGGTGGGGGGAGAGCCCTGGTTTCTTGGGCATGGAATTGTCTTTCTAGGCGAAGTTACATTTTAAGAGAGAACGCAGGGCACAGCTACAAGACACTAGTATTATACGGCCACGTTCTGACATTTCACACTTACTTGTGCCTTCTTTGAGAGCAAACTGCCTTTCAGCGTCCCCTCATCACCGCTGTCCTGGTCCTCTGCCTCCTCCTCCGTGCTGCTGTCACTTCCAGAATCCTCCAGCCCAGAGTAGACGCTCTCTTCGCTGTCTGTCAGGTCATCGCTTTCCTGGGCTTGCTCCTCCAGCACTTGGGTACTGGGAATGGACAGCTGAAAGGAAAGCACAAGCATCACTGCACAGAACCCCCAACGGTCTCCCCCTTGTCTACCCTCAGAGGATTGGCTAGTACAGTTATACCAGCAAACCCCTCCAGTGTGCACAGTTACCCCAGTGTAAAAGGAGTTACACCGGTTCAGGGAACTGGCGATAGAACTTCTGTAGAACCACGCTAGGGTTTTTATTGCCATAGCTACAGCAGTACATTGCTATGCTGGTAAAACTGATCCGCATAGACCAGGCCTAAGAGGGACACAAGTAAGGTTCGCAAACTTGATGGCGTCCCAGAAATGCTGCTGTGAATTACTTAAATTTGATTATGTCCCTCCCTGCTAGGAGGAGTCTCCAGAGTGCCTGCTTCACCAATACAAGCGAGACACGGTTCATCTTCATGCCAATTCCCTTAACTGTAGAAACACAGGCGTGCACGGGATTTCAGGTCAGCTAGTCCAGCCCCTGTGCTGAGGCAGTGCCAAGAACACCTCGACCTTCCCTGACAGGTGTTTGTCCAACCTGTTCTTACAAGCCTCCCAGGACAGGGATTCCACAACTTCCCTTGGAAGCCTGTTCTAGTATTTAAGGAGTTAGAAAGTTTTTCCTAATGTCTAACTTAAATCTCCCTTGCTGCAGACAAAGGCCATTGCTACTTTTCCTAGCTTCAGCGGCCACGGAGAACAACTGATCCCCATCCTCTTTACAACAGCCCTTAACGTACTTGAAGACTGATCAGGTCTCCCTGCAGTCTGATTTTCTCAAGGCTAGACATGCCCCGGGCTTTTTAACCTCTCCTCACAGGTCAGGTTTTCTAAACCTTTGATTATTTTTGTTGCTGTCCTCTGGACTTGCTCCAATTTTTCCACATCTTTCCTCAAGTGTAGTGCCCAGAGCTGGACACAGTACTCCAGGCCGAGGCCTCACCAGCACCAAGTAGAATGGGACAGTTATCTCCAGCATTTTACATACGAAGGCCCTGTTAATTCACCCCAGAATGATATTATCCTTTTATACAACTGCTTCACTCATATTCAAGTTAAGACCCACTCTAACCCTCAAATCCTTTTCAGCAGTACTACTGCCTAGCCAGTTATTCCTCATTTTGGAGTTATGCATTTGACTTTTCCTTCCTAGGTATAGTACTTATTGAATTTCATCTTGCTGATTTCAAACCAATTCTCCAATGTGTCAAGGTCATTTTGAATGCTAATCCTGCTCTCCAAAGTGTTTGCAACCTCTCCTAAGCACACCCAGGGCTGACCTCTGCAGGACCCCACTAGGTACATTCCCCCAGTTTGACAGCAAACCATTGATAACTACGCTTTGAGCATGATCTTTCAACCATTTGTGCACCCACCGTACAGTAATTTAATGAAGACTACATTTCCCTAGTTTGTTTTGAGATGTTCCCACATGACAATCTCAAAGTCTTACTAAAAAAAAAATATCAAGATATATTGTGTCTACTGCTTCCCCTCATCCTCTAGGAAATTAGGTTGGTTTTGCATGATTGTTCTTGAGAAATCCATATTAACTATTATTTATCACCTTATCATCCTCTAGGTGCATACAAACGTTCTTTAATAGTTTGTTCCAGTATATTTTCAGGTATCAAAGTTGGGCTGACTGGTCTACAATTCCCCAGGTCCTCTTTGTTCCCCTTTTTAATGTAGGTACTGTACTATGTTTGCCCTTCTCTAGTTCTCTGGGATCTCACCTGTCCTCCATGAGTTCTTAAAGAGGATCACTAATGGTTCTAGATTTTCAGCTGGTTCCTTAAGCACCCTAGGGCAAATTCTGTCAGATCCTGCTAACTTAAATACATCTAGCTTATTTAGATATCTTTCAACCTGTCCTTTCCCCCCCCCCCCCCCCCCGCCCATTATGGCTGCGTTCCCTCCCCCTTGTTGTTAATATTGTGTTAACTATTCGGTCACTATTAACCTGTTTAGTGAAGACTGAACCAACGTAGGCATTAAACACCTCAGCCTTCTTGGTGTCGCCCGTTATTAGCTCTTGTTCTCCACTAAGTAGTGGGGCTACACTTGCCTTCATCTTTCTCTAGCTCCTAATGTATTTATTTTCTTCTTCCTAGCTAGGGCACAGCTTTGCCCCTGAACCACTTTCCAATCCCAGCTCTGGCTCCTGGAATCTACCCTGTGCATCACCTCCCTCTGGGCTCTAGTTACCAGCCTTCGGGAACCTTTCCGCCACTCAGTGCTGCCTATTTGTCGCCCAGGAGTGGCCTGATCCCTACCTGTGGGCCTCCCTCCCACTGATTCCCCTCAGAAACTTCCTCCCAAAGAGTCCTGTCACATACACATCCCCACCCTCAGATAAAAGCCTTTCATAGCCTGTGAGCCAGTCACTGGTCCCATCACCACTCCATACGCAGCTAGGGCCCTCTTGCATTGCTGCAGAAAGGTGACCTGCTTGCAACATTCAAACCGCTCTTTCATACTCAGCCGTAGGCCTCCTGGGTTAACCCTGGGGAGTTCGGGAGGGCAGGAAAGGGAGTTCAAGTAATGCTGGATTTTGTAATATGGGAACTGTGAGCTTGCCTTGCTTACAGCAGAGAAGTACCCTAAGTGGTTACCTTTGAAACCTTGGATAAACATCTGTTTCCATACAGATGTGCCGCTGAGTCCATTAATGAAGGGGGGGAAACAACAGACACCATCAGCAGTGCATCGCAAACACCCCACATGCGCACCGTCCCGTTGGAAGGTGCACGATGCTATAACTCTCATAAGCACAAGTGAGGACAAACAGGTCTCACTAAAGTTACAACCAAGATTTACTCGGCTCTGTCAATTACGTTCACCAGAACATACTCGCTCCAGGCCTTTAAAACAGAAAAAGGAAGCTTGCAGGCAAACAGAGATAGACAGACCATAAAGACAGGTCTGCCTTTGCATATCTCGCTCCAGCTACGGGTCTAAGACTCTCTCCCCATCCACCCCCAACTATGGGCTGCAGGCCCCTCAGCTGTTCCCAGGAAACAGACTGAAGCGGAGACCTGGCTTCAGTTGCACAAAAATCCCCTCTCCACCAGCACCTTCTTTCGTTTATCCACTGAATAAGCCTGGAGCGCTGTGGGACAGGGACCGGGAGTGTGTGTGGGGGGGAATTGTACAGCGCCGAGCACATGCTGGGCATGACCGGGAGCAGAACGCGATCCCCCCTCCCCGTCCCAAACACACCCGACCCCACCCCCCCTAAACCCCCCCCCCCCCCCCCGGGGTCCCTGCGCCCGCCCCCAGCACGGGCCCCCGTCTCACCCGGCGGCTCCCCCCCGCCCGCTCCATGGCTCCTTCCCGGCAGGGCGCTCCTCCAGCTGCGGCTCCACGAGTCCCGCGTGCGCCGCGCTGCTCCGCCTCCTCACACCACGTGCGGGGAGGTCAGAGGTCACGGTGCCCCGCCCCCTCCCGCGGTACTCGGGAATATTTCCCGGTTCCTCCCCAGGGGAGCGGGCTGTCCCGGGACAGGGCGTTCTGCGCCGCACGCCTCAGAAAAACATTCCGGTCCCAAGCGGACCGGGGTCAGGGGGTCAAAGGTCAGAGGAGCCATTGGCTCCAGCGCATGCGCTTTCTATCATTCCCCCGCTTACCTGGGCGCGCCGTGCGCATGCGCCTCACTCCAGCCTGCGCTTGGGAAGGGGGAAGCGCGCACGAGGCAGATAGCGCAAGCGCAGAGCGCTGGGCCTGCCGGGGACGGGGTGGAGACCGTGAGGAGGGCCGCGCATGCGCCCGGCTGGCTCGGAAGGGGGCTTGGCCGTCACCGTGAGGCGTCCCAAGATGGCGGCGGCCATGCTGGGCTCCGGGGGGTTCCGTGCGCAGGCCGCGGCCGGGCCCCGCGGCGGGGGGAGGCGGCGCTAACCAGCCTCGGCGAGCCGGTACCCCCGCCTCTGTCTCGGCGGCTGGGCCCCGCGGCCTCCTGCGGCGCCCCTGGGCCTCGGCGAGCCCCGGCCTCTCGTGGGCCCGCGGCCGGGCCCCGTGCGCTGAGCCCCGGCCCCGAGGGGATGGAGGGCCCCGGGGCGGCTGCGGGGGGCGCGGGCCCCGGCGGCAGCAACGTCCCCGCCTTCCTCACCAAGCTGTGGACCCTGGTGGAGGATCCCGACACCGACCCGCTCATCTGCTGGAGCCCGGTGAGTGGCGGGGCCCGGGGCGCGCTGCCGGGGGCGGGGCCCGGCTTTGTCCCGTGGGGGCTGGGCCCGGAGCCCCTCGCCGCCGGGGCTCGCCTGGGCTCGGCCCGCTCCCTGCGGGGGGTGTCCCCTGGGCTCAGCTCGGCTCCTCTCGCCAGCGCAGCCGCCGCACCCAGGCGCCGGCCGGACATGGCCTTCGCCCCCGGGGCGCCTCATGCTGCGCCCGGGAGGTGTTGGGACAAGGGAGGCCCGGGCGGCCCTTCGAAGGGCAATCTCTGAGCCCTGGCTAACGAGAGCCCCTGGCTCGGAGGGGGAAGGGCGGGAAGCATTTTGGAGGAAAACGGGGAACAGGTAACACAGCCTACCCTAGCCGAGCGCCCAGTGTAGCATCATTTAAGGCCCAAGATGCATCTTTCGGGATGCTCCCAGGGGAATAGTTGCCTGTTCTGGTTAATAAAGGTGAACTACCTAACATTGAGCATGTGGCTTTGATTAGCGTGTTTGATCTTCCCAGCTTTCTCTTAGAGCTTGATTAAACGAGAAAGTTGCAATGGTTTAATTTAAGGTTTGAGTTGAACTGACGTTTTTAAAAGGTAAGAAGGGCTGTGTAAGCACTCTTACGGAGTTTAAACCAAAATAATTTACTCTTAAACAGCTACAAGAATAGATACACAGGAATTTCTACTGGCTTGAAAAGAATACTTTAACTGAAACTGGTGCAACTCTTTTGTTTAGAAAAGACCTTACGCTCCTTGTACCTGTGAAAAGACCACACAAGTGCTCTTTAATCATTAGACCCTTGGGACTGTCTAAACAGTTTCTAAACCAGTATAACTATTTTGTTTAGGGGGGTAACTTTTGTAATTGAAATAATTATATCCGTACAGCTCCAAGTGCTGATGCAGTTGTAAGGAGCCTTATACTGGTGTACGTTATTCCCCTTCTTTTACGGGAGTAAGTATAAGCACCGACATATGGGTATAAATCAGTGGTTCTCAAACTGTGGGTCGGGACCCCGTTGTAATGGGTCACCAGGGCTGGCGTTAGACATGCTGGGGCCCGGAGCTGAAGCCTGAGCCACGCTGCCCAGGGCTGAAGCCTGAGCCCCACCGCCCTGGGCCCAAGCCCAAGGGCTTCAGCCCTGGCATGTGTGACTCAGGCTTCGGCATCAGCCCTGAGTAACAGGGCTCAGGTTACAGGCCCCCTCCCCCCCGCCTGCCCAGAGCTGAAGCCATTGAGCTTCCGCTTTGGCCCCTGGGGTGGTGGGATTCGGACTTTGACTTTGGTCCCCCCCCCACCTGGGGCAGCAGGGTTTGGGCAGACTCAGGCTTCGGTCCCTGCTTCTGGGGTAGGGTGACCAGACAGCAAGTGTGAAAAATCAGGACGGGAGTTGGGGGTAATAGGAGCCTATATAAGAAAAAGACCCAAAAATCGGGACTGTCCCTATAAAATCGGGACATCTGGTCACCCTGTTCTGGGGTCATGTAGGAATGTTTGTTGTCAGAAGAGGGTCGTGGTGCAATGAAGTTTGAGAACCCCAGGTATAACTCAGAGCAGGCTATACCACTATAGTTAAATTGGTACGACTTATGTGTGTAGACAAACCATTGTAGGACTGTATTTCCTGAACAGTAGTACGAGTAGAGAGGTTATTTTACCTCTGTATGTGACATTGGTGTGACTGCTCCTGTAATACTGTGTCCAGTTCTGGTGTCCTCAATTCAAGAAGGATGTTGATAAATTGGAGAGGGGTCAGAGAAGAGCTGTGAGAGTAATTAAAGGATTAGAAAACATGCCTTATAGTAATACTCAAGAAGCTCAGTCTGCTTTGATTAACAAAGAAGTTTAAAGGGTAACTTTGATTACCGTCTATAAATATCTATGTGGGGAACAAATATTTAATGGTGGGCTCTTCAGTCTAGCAGAGAAAGGTATAACACGATCCAATGGCTGGAAGTTGAAGCTAGACAAATTCAGACTGGTAGTAAGGTGTAAATTTTTAAGAGTGAGGCCACGTCTACACTAGCGAGCTTACAGTAGTACATGTGTACTGATGCTGCTGCGCCCCTGTAAGATTGCTTATGTAGCTGCTCTATGCTGGCGGGGGAGAGTTCTCCCGTCAGTACAATAAAACCACCCCACGAGTCGCGGTAGCTCTGTTGGTGGGAGAAGCTCTCCCGCCAACATAGCGCTGGCCACAGTGGCGCTTCTGTCAGTTTAACTTGTGTTGCTCAGGGGGGTGTGTTTTCACACCTCTGAGCGACATAAGTTATACTGACAAAAGTGGTAGTGTAGACCTGGCCTGAGAGTAATTAACCATTGAAATGTATTACCAAGGATCCTGGGGGATTCTCCATCATCATTGCTAATTTTTACATCAAGATTGGCTGTTTTTTTCTAAAATTTCTGCTCTAGGAATTATTTTGGGAACTTCTGTGGCCTGTTTTATACAGGAGGTCAGATTAGGTGATCAGGGTGGTCCCTTCTGGCCTTGGAACCTATGAAACAGGTGCGATAGGTCCAGCATATTGAGTACTCGGCAGAAACCTGCCCTTTCGTGAGAATGAGAGTTGCAGTTGTGCAAGCTCGTATCCCCCTGCATTCTGCCAAGCTGAGGAAACTTGAGTTTTTATAAGAAAAGTGGCAATGTCAGGAACTAGTGCAATAAAGTCTTTTAAAGGAAATTCTGTTGCAGCCAACACGTGTTTCTCTTGAGTTCAAAGGAAAGATGCTTCCTCATTATTTGGTACTTAATTTTACAGAATGAGCAAGCACAAAAGTTTCTTGAATTTTTCTAGAAGTTAAATGCTCAGTGTTTCATTCATAAACTCAATCTGTAAACTGGAGTATTGTAACGGAGGTCTTATTTTGAAGTGAAATCATAAACCTCTTATTAATATTGACAAATGTGGAAAAAAATTGCCATACAGAAGATTGACTTCACATGAAGAATAGACAGCTTGTGCAGGTGTAGCTGCTCTCTACCAGCTCCTGTTTAACTGTCTAGTACCATACAATGTTGCATGTTCTGGTATCTAGTTGCTAATATGTTTCAGATAGATACACATCCTAACTTCAGAAATGATAACTTTAACAAACAAGTCACTTGTTCCCTCTAAATCAATGAAAGTTTAGCATTTGGGTATGGAACTTGTTTACATTCCATCTGAGGTGGTGTTATGCTGCCATGACTGAAGCAATAACCTTTGGAGGTGGTTAACTGTATGGATTGGCCAATCATGTTGTTTAATGAGGCACTCTCTAGGCTTCAGCTTACTTACTAAACTTACTTTATTTAGTAAGTAAGTACTTTTAGTAACATCTAGACTCCTTTTAGATACTTCTCTTTAAGTCAAGTCTCTTCTGCCAGAAATCACAAGTAATACATCCACCTGCCACCAACAAACAGTTGATTCTAGTTCCTCGTGTAACCTAAGCTGCCCACTGGGAGTGGGATGTTTTGGTTATGTAGACAGCTAAACCAAGTTACGTCCTTTTTTTTTTTTAAACGTCTCTTAGCTTGAAAGACTGTTATGGGAGAGGACCTAGGAGGAAGTTTAAACTATACATACAAAAACAATGTGTTAACATTTGAGCTTTAAGAATCTTGCTCATCTCTTTTTGGCACTGGTAAAGTTTTTAAAATCTTGGTCCAAACACAAGTTGTAAGTTAAGAAAATGTCTATCAGTAGTCCTTAGGGTTAGGGTTGAGTCCTTTGTCATAGCCCCCGTTGTCTTCTGACAGCAGTTAATTTTGTTTTCTTTCCTCTGGTATCATCCCTTCTCCACTACAGCCCAACTCATTCCAATTAATAGGAAACAGCCCCATTGCCTTGTGCTGTGATCTGATATCTGTAAAATTAAGAGTTTGGCTTGATCATTATTGGATAAGATGTAAAACCAAGGCTTATAACTTTAACCTTTCAATGACCACTTTTCCTGAGAGAGTGAGCGTTAACGCTGGTGTCTTTAACTCCAACTCATTCAAAATATAAATCACCCTCTAGTTTTACTTGGATATAATAGTCTTAATTTCCAAGCTCAAATAGTTGTCATTACTCTTTGTGGTTAAATAGCTGCTATGTTCCATTCCAGAACTGATTCCATTTCATAGCTGAGTGAACTGAGCCCTCTTCATTCGTATGCAAAGCTTTTGAGTAGAAAGAAAGTATATACATTTAAGGTGATGGTGATTAGACCAGGGCAGGTGGGGGTTTCC